TTGTTGTTTTCCAACGTTTCCATACAGAAGCATGTTGATTACATCGATTTTATAAAAAAAGCTGTACACAATAAGATATTTCTGATAAGAAACTATATTACAACTAAAGGAAACCAACTATACTATGCAATCATCATTAGAAAACATATTGTTCTAGGAAAAAAAGAAAAACCAGTGGTTTGTCATTGGTGATGATGGGTCATAGTCATAATTACCGCCAGCTTTCACAAAACTTCTTTTCACTCTTTTTCTTGGATGATGTTCATTTAGAACAGACCTGACTGATTATAACTTGTGCAATCTTGTTTTCCAGGTGACAACATCTAAAATAAAATAAGCCCAAATTCTTTAAAGTAATACTCATAAATATATAGATGCCAAGCTTCAAACTCTTTAACCGTAGTATTTCAAAACCAAAATAAATATTAAAAAGTACTGACTCAAACATAAATATATACGAAGTTCAGATTATAATAATAAATTTCTAATTTCTATAGATAAGGTAAATGAAACCAATCAATATATAGATCTCTTAGGTGATTAAACACAAAAAAATTTAGAAAATTTTTCGAAGATAATAACATCTATGTAAATTAACAGAAGTAGTCACCAAAGAGACAAAAATCACAAACCGGTACAATAAAACATGCTATAAAAAGAATATATATATTGAAGCATAGAAACAATAAAATTTATCATTAACTTAAAACTAAACCAATACAAACATAATAACTCAATCAAGAGAAACACATTAAAACTATATCTTAAGAATAAAGTCAGAGTACATCATTGGATAACAAATCACAAGAAGCTCTTCCTAATTTCAAAGGATTCTCCACTTCACCAAAACATAGGAATAGGAGGATCTGAAACAATACCCACAACGCCTTTTTCAAATCCCATTGAATCATCTCCACAATCGCACACACTCAAGATAAAGATCACAAACAACAATAAAAAAAAAAAATAACCGTCAAAACAACAATTTGTCAAAAGAATCAAAGATGAATACCAGATTGATATTAAAATGAGAATATTAATATATCCTCTTAACCTTTTAACCTACTCGTTTCCGTAGAGAACTTTAAAAAACACCAAAAATATCTAAAAGCTCACAAAATAATGTGAAGATCCAATATATTAATTAGGACAAATAAAACTCACCTTACTGAAAAATAAACATCCCCAATCCATATGCAAAAAAAACAGAGAAGAGAAAATAATAAATAAATAAAACACAAACAAATTAAATTAAAGCATCAAAGAATAAGATAGATAAATAGCAAAAAAAGGAAAAAAAATAGATTAATGGAAGAACATACCGTGCCCAACAAACGAACGAAGCTGCAGTTCAATCAACACAACAATAACACTCAAGTCTCTCCATGGCTTGACACTTCAGCTTTTTTAAGCTTTCTAAATATGACACCTCAACAAAAATAATCACCAATCAAAACATTTTATTAATACATCTCATCTATTTATTTTAATTTTTAAACTTAAACCCATTAAAAACCCAAATATTTTTTCTATTAATTTTTGTTTTATTTTTTACCAAATCTAAGCCCAAATAATTAATAACAGTAAATAAAAAAAATCATTATTTTATTTTTTGTCAAATCCAAACCCAAATAATAAATAAAAACAAATTAAAAAAAATAAATCATTGTTTTCTTTTTTTGCCAAAACCAAATCCAAATAATAAATAACAGCAAATAAATAATAAAACAAAATTCTAGGTATCTGTTTGTTTGACATAAACGTATATGATTGAAAAAGTGTAGGCTCAGCATCAACTATGCTTCCATGACAACATTGCAAAAAGCCTTATGTTATATGAAGCTCACACATCAACAAAAATTTGAACCGATAAAAACATAACAATTTTTTAGTTTTCGTAAATTTCACGGGAGATAATGCAATTTTTGGTTTTTGCGGGAAATTGTAGTTTATTTGTTTTTGTAGGAAAGCGTGATTTTGGGCTTGACGAGAAAATGATTTTTTTTTTTTTGCAGGAATAAACGATTTCTCAGTTGAAATAAATTTTTCGATTTTGGCGGGAAAATACAATTTTTTTTTTTATTTTTGCAGGAAGATGAAATTTTTTGGTTTTTGTGAAAAAACGTAATTTCTCGGCTTTGGTGGAAAAACACAGGTTCTCGCGGGAAAATAAAATTTTAGATTTTAGGTTTGACGAGAAAATGAATTTTTTGGTTTTGGCGGAAATAGCCGATTTCTCAGTTTAATGGGAAAATAAAATTTTTTTGTTTTGACGGTAAATGCGATTTTTCGATTTTTGTAAGAAAATGAAATTTCTCTGTGCTAAATTTCCAAGTCAAATTATGTTTACAGTAACCAAAATTTAATTATTTAACTTTAACTAAAACGATATTTTAAGAGTTCAAACATAATTTTCTATTTAGTTCTAAAACAATAGCAATGGTTTTGATATGAATGTTATTGATTATAGTTTGGTAGTTTTAGAAACATATGTTTATAATAAAATATTTGATAAATAAAGAAATTTTATAATTCAAAATAATCATATTAATTAATAAATCTTTTTTTAGATGGCATTTTGCTTTATATAATTACAAAGGAGGATCATGTGGTAATTTATAGGAGAAAATAGATTACATTTGTCATTAGCATGAAGGTACTATATATGTACTGCTTTATTCATATATATTTTATTCTTATATACACATTTATAATTAGTTAGCTAACTAAATTTAATAGCAGAATATAATTTTGAATATATATATATATGTAATGTTTATTCAGATTTAAAACATATAAATACATAACTTAAACTAATAAAAAAATAAATATAATACTCATTTATATTATCAAAATAATTTTATTATATTAAGAATATATACAAAATTTAGAAAAATATCCTGCCGCATAGCCCGGGTAAATACCTAATATACAACAATAAGAAAAACACAAGAAAACTATCAAACAAGCACTCAAGGAAAACAAAACATTAATTAGAAACATATACTTTGTGAATTTAAATTAATAGACGGACAAAAAGTTTGATGCTGATAACGCAACCAGAAAACATAATGATCTACACACAGATTAGTTATATTAAGCTAGAGACACAAAACCATCGCAAAGTAAACACACAAAAAGTATAGAAAAATTAAGAATGCTAAAAATATGTAACCAAGGATGGTTAATCGTATATATAACATAAAATATAAGTTGGATTAGGTTTAATTGTAAATCGATATACAAACAGCTAAGCTAGTTTTTTTTTTTTGGCTAAACTAGTTAAATTGGATTAAATTAGGATTTGAACTCTATAAGCACATGAAACAAATTAAATCAAACTACATCATAAAAATGATACATATTTAATAAATATAAGATTTAGTTTAATTGATAATTTTATTAAAGGTAAATCAAGTAATTTCATATCAGGGATAAAGAATAATCAACCATCATAACTTTCAACCATAACCTAATTTGTTTGCCAATTAATAATATAATATTCAGTAATATAACTAGCTATATTTTATTATTTAAATAAATACAAATAAATAATATAGTATTACAAAATTTTATTTAGTAATAAAATTATGTCTATTAGAATATTTTTAAATTTTTATATAATTTTTATGTTGAAAAAACATTATAAAAATAATTACAATAAAAATTATATTATTTTATAATAGTTAATCTAATAAATAATATTTTAATTTTTAGTATATATAATAAAAATAAATATTATATATAATTTATCTAATCATATTAATAAGGTATATTTTGCAATTTCATAGTAAATCATTTGACAGTTTTTTTTGTTATTCTCCAATTTTAATATATTACTAATCCCGTTAAATTGACTAATTTCTACTTTGTATTTCGATAACAACAATTCTATATGAATAAATATGATTTCAAAAAAAAATATATATATATACCAATCGAATTATTTCACATGAGATAATTTTTTGTTTGGTAAGCGTTTCAGATCAGAGATATAGATCATTGAATTGTTTTTAGCGTTTAGGCTATTGATAATTAAAAAAAAAAAATTAGCTAGAATCGTAACTGTTAGATGATTCGGTGTATTCAGAAACCGTTAAATTCCATCTACTTAGGAGGTAACTGGTGATCATAAGAAATAGAAGGGAATACTAAATTCTTTATTATTCCTTAAAAATTACAATATTAATATATTATACCCATGATTCCTTCTCATTTCTTATGTTTTAGAGAATTATAATGTTAATATATTCTTTATAAAAAATGAAAAGGAACAATAATTTTTATTATCTTATTCATTATATTTATTTTCCTATTTATTCATATGGTCACCACTTAAAGTCTTAGAGATCTCTTTGTCAAGTCAAACTTACCGCTATCCCATTTTCAACACCTGTAAAATCGACGAGCAAATCCCAATTTCTTCTCCTTCATCTACAATCACTCATCATCCATGGCGATTTCTCACGCTCGTCCTCTGCTTCTTCTCTTCTTCTCGCTCTCCCTGTTACCTGTTCTGCTCACCACTTCTTTCCACTACTGCGGTTTGTACCTAAACCCTCTATTTGAAGATATCGGCTCAAACAAACCCACTCGTTGCATCTTTTACTCTGACTCTTGGTTATTTAAGACCAGTTTAGACTTTAGAGTCTGCTCCGATCTGTGACTGATTTCTGCTTTCAATTTGAGGCTGAAATTGATACTGATTCATTCAAATCTTGCAAGAAATCAGGCTTTTGGCTTTCAAGAAAACCATCTATCTGTTTCACTCTTGATGCATGTGATAATCAATTTCATGGAAGCTAAGTTTGTTTGTAAAAAGCTTATTTACCCATTTCTTGCAAAAAGAGGGGATTTTTCTAGTCATGTTATTACAGAAAGCTTCAATTTTCTGAAGGAGAATATCAATGTCTCATGTTTCTTTATCATTGACGTATACTGGTCTTTTACTTTGCTTGTGTTGAACTGGATCTTGCTCTCTACTTGCGTCTCTTGTAGATAAGAAGCTCGATCCCGTTAAAGTCAGTGGTGTGAAGATCTCTCCTGATCCTGTTGTGAGTGGCGAAGCCGCAACATTTAAGATCTCTGGTTCTACTGGTAATTTCCCTTTTGTGATCTTCTGCCTCTTTCTCTTTTGTTTCTTATAGTTTTAGAACATACTTAGAGTGTCAAGATTCGTGGTGTAAACAGATAAAGACATCTCTGGAGGAGAAGTAGTGATCAGTGTTTCATACTTTGGGATTCATGTCCATACGGAAACTCATGACCTCTGCGAAGAGACGGCTTGCCCGATCGCACCAGGCAGCTTTGTCCTTTCTCATTCCCAAACATTGCCTTCAATTACACCGCCAGTAAGATCTCCAAACACTCTTTTTGCATAGAATATAAACAATGTGATTGTTCATTTCCTTTTACCTTCTGTCACAGCATTTGAGCTTAGGACATGTTGGTTATGTTCATTTGACAAAATGGGTTTACTAGATTGCTTCCTATTTTTGTCTTGAAACTCTCAGTTTTCCCATCATAATTAGCTAGGTCAAGATATTGGCTTCTTTGATCTAACAATATGTGTCTCTTTGAAACAGGGCACGTACACGCTTAAGATGACGATAAAGGACAATAATGGTGGGCGACTAACTTGCATCAGCTTCAAATTCAAGATCACATTAGATTCCACGGTTTCTGTTAGTTAAGTTTTATGCTTAATATATGTTGCGTCCTTGTGAAAATTCTCTCGTATCCTTCTGTGGTGTCCAAATAAAGATGCTCTTTTTGAGGCTTCACTTTGATCTACGTTAGACTAATCTTTCTACGCTAATGAGTTAAAAAAAGAGACGTTAAGACCCAACAAGAGCATTATCAATAAATTCTTGAATTGGATCTGGTAACTGTTGAAAAACCGGTTTTCTGTTAGCTTATGCAAGACGCTTAAGGAAGACCAATAATTACTAATACAAACACACACATAAGATACAAGAATATACATGAGAAGAGTAACTAATATACTCTCCTAAAAGTAAGCTGCTAATGTACAAACAATCCCACAATCTTTTGTTTTTCTGTTCTATTAATTTCTTTTCTACTTTATATTTATGCACTTCATAAAAGAGGCTTCTTCCACGTAATGAGAGAGCTCCTTTGGTCATATAATCATTTATGACTTCAATAATAAGGAGTCCGTCGATCCAAATGCATGGCTTTCTTTGTGATTTAGTTTAGAATCACAACCAATAATTTTACTTCTGATAATGCTCTACATGTTGCTACTGTTTTAACCTCGGTAGTTCTGATAGAGATAAACTGTCAAAGTGTCAATCTCCTAAATGCTGATATATATATCAGAATCAATATTCTTAAAATACAGATTCTACATTTATCTGCAAAGAATCTGCAATTGCAGAAGAGATTCTCAGCTAAGGTAGAACTTGATTACCAAAGAACAAGAGAGAAGAAGAGTTTTCTTAAACTTTTCTGTATATGTATTACAGTCCTTTTATATGAAGAAAAAAAACTAAACTGACTTAATAATATGGAAAACTTATAAATTAGAAAACCAATTCAAAAATCTAATAATAAATTTAGTTAATTAAAAACCAATTCAAAAATCTAATAATAAATTTAGTTAATTACATGGCTCTCTTAATAAGTAGTATTTTCTATTTAAAAACTCTCCCACTTGAAAAAAATCTTATTTTCAAGTTTGAAAAGATGGAAATGTATGCTGCAGATCATGAAAGAACTTCCAAGTTGCTTCTTCTGCAGATTGATTCGACCATTGGACAAGAATTATTATAACAGCTTGTTTCTGATATTGAACCATCTTTCTATCCAAAATCTCTTCCGGTTCTTTCACAAGCACATCTTGAATGATCAATGGGAGCCAATTTGAAGTTTGGAGAGTACCAACATGAAGTTTCGGTTGTGAAATATGAAATACTCGGGTGTATTTGAGAACTTGTAAGAAACTTGTCCACACTTGTCAATGGTCTTATAAAGGCCAAAATATTTCAGAGAAATTTTTTGAATGGGTCTCATCACCAATGACTTCTGCCTATAAAGTTGTAGCATGACATACACATAATCATCGATATCAAAGCTTCAGTCGGTCTGATATTGATATGCAAATTGTTGTATTCAGTACTGAGCTTGTAAAAGGTGAAACTTTAAGAGCAGAATCATGTTTTAATTGTCCTGCAAACACTTAGCAACCACTGCGACTTTGGACTCACCATGACGATAAGGTAAATGTTGTAGAAGTAATTGTCCATAAACAGCGTCGTACAAAGTCATTTGAATTGATGTATGGTAATTTGTGTTGTATCAGAATTCTGCTAAAAAGAGCCACTTACTGCGGAGATGTGGCCTGTCACTATACATGCATCTTAAGTAAGTTTACAAACATCGATTCACCATCTCCATTTGACCATCACTATGCGGATGATACACACTCTAGAGGTTCAAAACAACACCTTGTAAACTGAACAATTCCCACCAAAAATCGCTGATAAACACAGCGTCTTTGTCACTCACAACAGATGGGGGAAACCCATGAAGCTCCATCACATTATCGAGGAATGCTTAAGCTACAGATGCCGACGTATAAGGATGAGAAATAGCCATGAAATGAGCTGCTTTACTCAACGTGTCAACCACCACAAAAATCGCTGCTTGGCCATTCGACTCAGGTAAACCATCGATGAAATTTATGGAAATACCAGTCCAAATCGTATCTGAGATTGGGAGAAGCTGAATCAAACCCAGATATGCTGTAATATCATACTTACACTGTTGACACATGTTGCAACTGTTAATGTAAGCTTGGTTATCCTTAAACATATCTTTCCAGTAAAACAAGCCTTTAACTCTCTGATGATGATTTATGTCTCTTCCAGAATGACCTCCACCGATACAACAATGTAACCATTCCAAAATTGTGTTTCTAAGAGGGAGATCCAAAGGGACTAAAATCTTGCTTTTCCTGCATAACATTTTGCTTCCATGAGTAATGCTTCTTGGACTGCAGTTTATGTTGCAACGCAATTATAATCTCCTTGATATCCAAATCAATATCATAACAAGCATGAATACACTGCAACAAGTCACAATCAAGTACAGACATCACCATATGTAAAAACCTCAACTCTTTCGACTTTAGACAGATCATTAGCAACCAAATTTTCCTTGTTGTGTCTATACTGACTCTCATAATCGAATTCCAACAACTTAGAAAGCCATTGTTGCTGAACAGGAGTGTTAATCTCTGCACCAATAAGTACTTTGAAGTCTTTTGATCCATCTTAATCACAAACTGACCAGTCATCAAATAATGGCACCACTTTTGCATAGCAAACACCACTGCTAACAATTTCTTTTTCATAAATCGATAAATGGAGTTGCTTACCCTTTAAGTGACGATTGATATAAGCCAAAGATGACCCTCCTGTATAAAGACAGCAGCGATATTTTCCCACAAGCATCAGATTCTGCCACAAATGGTTTATCAAACAATGGTAAAACCAAGACAGGTGTGACAAGATATATCATGGTTTTTATGGTTTTTAACCATGATATAAGTCCTTTTTATTTAGTCTTTTTGGTCTTTTTAGAGTCATAGTTGAGTCTTTGCAGGTTATAGCATGACTGGAGCACAATTAGAGGTTTTTAAGCTTTTGGATCATTGCAAGAATCAACCCGGAAGTTAGCAACTCAGAAGGCGTTACATGGCATTGGTGACGATCGTCACCACTCACGATCCTTACCACTTAAGGGTGACGCTCGTCACCCGCATCTGAAGAGAGTCATGTGCTTCATTTAAAAGATGGAGAAAAATTTTCAATTTTGACCCAAAAGTTTTTTTATTTGCAAGAAGACCCCAACTCGTATTTTAGCCTGTATATTAGGGTTTTCAGTGATTGTTGGCTTTTATCATAGATCTTAGAATTCAGAGAGCTTTAGAGAGAGATTTATTCAGAGCTTTTGGGGAGACAAATCCTGTACTCTTTTAGAGAAGATTTTGAACCCCTATATCTTATACTCTATTCTTTAAATGCAGATTTATTCAGCTGTACTTTATGTTTTCATAATCATGTCTGAGTAATCTATTAGTTAAGTTAGGATCATTCAAAGGTTGATGAAGAGTTTGTAGAATTGCTAAACTGATAGGAAATCTATTGGTTCTTCATCTGTGCTTGCATTCATATCGTTTATGAGACTAATCATCTAGATTTTGAAACCCTAGGTTGTTTAATAGATGTGAGAATATTGTTACTCACCTGAACTAGTATTAGATGAGCAAAACGCCTATTTGCAAATAGATTTGACTCAGGAGTTTTGTGAACAATTGAACATGATCATTACTGCATGTTTAGATTGTTAGAATTTGCAAAGAGATTTGAAATTCTGTGATTTAGGCATAGATAACTTCTGCAATGAGATTTGATTAGTTTTAAATCAGTGTTTCAAGTTCTAGACGGTTATTAATTCATTTCTAATTGCATGCATTCTACATTCTTGGATTCAACCTACGAATTTTCTTGACTTAGCGCCTTTACCTTTCTAAACTTAAATCAATCAACAAATTTCGCCTGTTTTCCTTTATTTTGCTATTTCACATTACTGTCATTCATTATATCTTAGCTTACTCCAAAACTGAACTCTATAATGTAGTTTGCTTACTCCCTTGGGATTCGATAACCCCTTATGCTACAACTGTAATGCTGTGCATTTGCAATATACTAAAAGTGAGTAAAACTTAGACCCTGTCAAGTTTTTGGTACCGTTGTCGGGGAGTAATAGCTGCCTATCGATTTTTAGTATTAGGATTTTGTCTAAGTTTTTATTTGTTTACTAAATTTTGCTACTTTTCTTTGTGCTAGTTTCAGGTGTATGCCTAATCGCAGTACCAGAAGCAACAAAGGGGGCTTGTGACTCTAGGCATTGACAAACTAGCTAAGTTGGAAAGGACCATCAGGAAAGCTAAGAAACAGTCTACAATGGTTGCTCCACTTGCCTTGGTCGATACAGAGGGTCATTTGGTTGACAGAGATGGAAACAGGAGGAATGTAGAAGGGCAGAGACTGGATCAGAATGGCAATGTCATAGCTGAATAGGTGGTTCAGCAAGTTGCGGATGAAGCTGTAAATGTTGCTGGGCAGTTTGTGCAGCGGACTCTAGGAGATTACAACATACCTGACCAATTTTATGCCAACAGAGCTGCAATCCGCCCTCCTGCTTTTCAGAGAAACGATTTTGAGCTCTAGCCTTCTTATTATCAGCTTATGGGTCAGCATCCTTTTCATGGCTAACCACATGAGCATCCTATGGATCACATAGAGAGGTTTGAGGATTTGGCTTCAAGTGTCAAAGCTAATGGAGTTAGCAATGATTTTCTGTTCTGCAAGCTGTTTCCTTATTCTCTTGGAGGAGATGCAGCTTATTGGCTGAAGCAACTGGAGCCTGCATCGCTGACCACTTGGGAAGACACCAAAAACCCCTTTCTGAACAATTTTTATGATGATGCTAGATCAGAAGACTTAAGGACAAAAATTGATTCATTCTCCCAAGGTCCTACTGAAGCTTTTAAGCCTTCCTGCCTGAGATTCAAGTCTTATCAGAGACACTGTCTTCATCATGGTTTCAATCAGGTGCAGCTGCTTGAAATTTTCTTCAGAGGAGTGGACTGGAAATATCA